CTTTGTAGTAGAGGATGGCTTAAACAACTGATCATTTTTCCTTCACCTTCTGAATTCTTGGCTTGAAGGTATGTACTGACATTCCTGGCCAGCTTCAGTTATTAAGATTCCCCTTCTTTCTAGGTTTGCTTTTGTGTTACCTGTTATGTCTGAAAGCAATTGCCTCATGTGTTTTGTTTAGAATAACTAGTTCTATTTCATTATTTTCATACTTACAAGTAGAAGTTTTCCATTTTCTCAAAAACAAAACAGAACTATAATTTTTGTATCAAGTTAAGCTAATGAGAAGTTTTTTACTTTTATTCTTTGATTTTTTTTTTTAAATATTTTTAAGATTTATTTATTATGTATACAGAAAAGGGCGCCAGATCTCATTACAGATGGTTGTGAGCCACCATGTGGGTGCTGGGAATTGAACTCAGGACCTCTGGAGGAGCAGTCAGTGCTCTTAACCTCTGAGCCATATCTCCAGCCCTTATTCTTTGATTTTTATCTTCAAAACACTCAATAACAAAATTTTTTATTTTTTGTTTTTGTTCCTATTATAATCTATATAGCTGAATAATTTTTAAAAGGTTAGGCATGAATTTTCTTATTACCAGTCAATTTTGTATTGTTTTTGAACTCTTAAGAGATCTGCCTGCTTCTGCTGGGATTAAAGGTATGTGCCACCACACCCAGCCAAGTTAATGTTTTGGTTTTTTTTTTTTTTTTTTTTAGGATTTATTTATTTATTATGTATACAGTGTTCTGCCTGCATGTATCCCTGCAGGCCAGAAGAGGGCGCCAGATCTCATTACAGATGGTTGTGAGCCACCATGTGGTTGCTGGGAATTGAACTCAGGACCTTTGGAAGAGCAAGCAGTGTTCTTAACCTCTGAGCCATCTCTCCAGCCCCCCAAGTTAATGTTTTTATTTATACTTTTTTTCCTATCCAATAACCACTTGTTCCATGGTTTTTAATCCATCATTTCTAAATCTAGTATATACTTTCTAAAAACTAAATAATAATTCTAATTTTAAGTGTTTATTAGTATAGAGTATTGATTTCTTGTCTTACATGTTTTGTGTAGACCTGCATACAAATTTAGTCTATTAATATGAATCCCTTAAGTCTCCAAAATGTTACACGACTGTTACAAACATTGACCTATATTATGAGTACCTATAGAACCAAGAATTGAAACAAAACAAATCAGGTAAATTGGCATTTACTCTACTGGAAGTGTCTTAGTCACTGTGAAGAGACCATAACCAAGGCAACTTTTATAAGAGAAAGCATTTAATTGAGGGCTTGCTTACAGTTTCAGAGGTTTAATTAATTAGTTCATTACCGTGGCTGGGAGCATGGCAGCATGCAGGCAGGCATGGTTCAGGGGAAGTAATTGAAGTTCTACATTCTGATCCACAGGCAGAGGGAAACTGGGCTTAGTGTGGCCTTTAAAATTCTTTTTCAAGACTACCCACCAGTGACACACTAACTCCAATAAAGCCACACTTCCTAATCATCCTAATCCTTCTCAAGTAGTGCCACTTCCTGATGAGTAAACATTCAAGTATATGAGCCTGTGGGGGCCAGTCGTACTAAGACCACCAGAAGATAATTTTCTAGACATCAGTTGTTATTTGTGTTTTCTAAGAGGATAGATGTGATAGGTTATTTTGTCTTTTCACCTATTTAGACCCTTTTCTGCTCAAATAGTCATTATTCTCAGAATTCTTTCTGTTTCTGAAATTTATAGTTTTATAGTGCATTAATGGCATTCTGACAGTCTTCCCTCTGTACCTTTAATTAAGGAGAGAATAAGAAATACGTAGTCATCTTCTTATGTTCTGAACAGTAGGTTCTTGGGTAGAATTTAGCATTCCATTTTGTCAGTATAGATGTCTTGTGACAGAGGCAGCTTCGTTTCTTTAAGGAGCTTAGTTTTTGTACTGTTCAGCAGATCTCTAAAGTGAATGATGTATCCCACAGGCCCTTTCCCCCTAACTTGAGTGATAACACAGTCTGAAAATATTTCTGTGAATGAATAGGAAAAGTTGGACATTTCATTTGCCCTACTACCACATACTGAGCCCTGTTGTTAGTCCAGTAAAGTGTTAGGCCCTCCTAATGCTGGCAAAGGTACAGGGAAATTGGTACATGGACTCCAATGTCAATAAACTTAAAATATTTTGTCTGGAGATGTGTTAAACTCTGGAGGTAAAAGTAATATCCTCTTTGATGTTAGATAAAGGATATAAGGTATGAGTTAATATTCTCTAAAAATCATAAATATTTTTTGTTTTCAGTATTATTGAAGAAAGTCCATGTTTACTGATTTTCCTGAAGTTATTATTGCAAAGCAGTCGAGAGAAAAATCATTTACTCTTGTTGTCAGACACTTTTACTGAAAAGTTAGCTCAGAAATTTGTACCATTGTTTCTAGAGACAGTGCTTTGGTTCAGCACCTTAGCTGAAGATAGAGATATTGTGGGCTAGTGAAATTCATACATAGGGTAACCAAGCATAAGAATTGAGGAAAGGTTGATTTTCAGTTTACCAATATGGCTTACTCTCCTGGTTTGGGTTTGTTATTGTTGTTTGAAATAATGAGAGTATTAACAGTACATATTTTATAGGGCTTCTATGAATATGGGTATTGCTTGGGAAGTACTTAGGTTTTAACCTACTGACTAAGCACTTAATAAAGACTGATTTTTATGTCATTACTTTTTTTTTAAATTAACTTTGGTTTAGATATTAAAGAACTGGAAAATATTGAGCAGAAACTTAAAACCCTGCCACAGTTGTAAGCTGAATCTAGGAGTGGAGTAGTCTGAGACTGGGGCTTTTGTGACTGATCCTGATGTAGTAAGACTTTCTTAAGTGGTACCAGTACTTGTTGAGATTTCTGAGAGCATTCAGTTACCTTTAAGACTTGGAAAGAACAGAATTTTAAATAGGAAACTTTGAAGGCCAAGAAATTGACCACACACACACACACACACACACACACACACACACACACACACACACACACACACACACACGTAGTAGCCAGTATATATATATACAGTGGGAAATTAAGTACCTATGGCTACTAGGCCAGGGTAGATTTGCTTTGGTGATTAAAACAGAACAGTGGCTTTCAAAGGTTTCAGATTTTGTTTTTGTTTTTGTTTTTTGAGACAGTGTTTCTTTGTATAGTCCTGGCTGTCCTGACACTAGCTCTGTAGACCAAGCTGGCCTTGAACTCACAGATATTCACCTGCCTCCGCCTCCCAAGTGCTAGGATTAACGGCATGCACCAACCACCACCCAGCTTAAATGTTTTAGATTTTTTTATTAAAGATTTATTTATTTATTTATTCATTTATTTAGTATACAGTGTTCTGCCTGCACACATGCCTGCACTGCAGGCCAGAAGAGGGCGCTAGATCTCATTACAGGTGGTTGTGAGCCACCATGTGGTTGCCAGGAATTGAACTCAGGACCTCTGGAAGAACAGCCAGTGCTCTTAACCTCTGAGCCATCTCTCCAGCCCCTGTTTTAGATTTTTTAGTAACATTTTACATTGCACCTCATCACATATGTTTACACACATATTTCTATATATATTTCAGTAGCAATTGTAACAAACTGATTTCATCAAACAGCATTTAATCTTATTATATGTAATACTATGACATACAATATTTTGTTTTCCCCTTTAAAAAAATGTTGATCCTGCCCTCCTCACTTGATTTGATGATTTACTAAACCTGCAGTTGCAGAAGCACTGGTTGGAGTATAAATTAATCTTTTGACGTTAACCTGGAAAACAGTTGAACATACTTTGCTGTGTAGATGAGTTAAGAGCCTGCCACAGTTGGCGGGTGCTCTGCAGCAAGGAATGAGACTTCTTACTCTTGCACAGTTTCCTTTGATTACTTAGCTTTCTACAGGTCGGGCTGTTTTTCTCAGATGATTTACTATTAAACTTAGATGTATCTCCTTCTTTAAAATAGGTAGGTGTATAATGTGGAACCAAAATGCTTTCACCCCAAAACTAAAGGCCTAAGACTGCTCCTTTTAGCAACAGGCCATAAGTTATTAAACCTTGCTTTTGCATTCTGGCTTGCTCGTTCTTGGTGGTCTCTCTGGGGGTCGCGATCTGGGCACAACATTTAATAGTAGCCAGTATTTCCATAGTTCTTTCTCTGTGCTGTGCACTTTTGTTTTACATATTATTCATCTATATTGGGTACCTTAATTATCTTTATTTTACAGATGGAATACTAAAGTATATTTAAGTAGTTTACATTAAAATCTGACATGTCTTTCATGTAAATGGTTTCTGTGATAGTTGTTGGATCACATTGCACTAGTTTCTGGGCTTACGATTGTTTGTATTATTTTGAAACAGGTCTTCTTTTGCTGGGTAGGCAAAGATGACTGTCAATCTGATCTTTCTGCCCCCACCTCCCAGGTCTAGCTAGGTATTAACATGCACGGCTCTTCTGGACTTATTTTCTTAACTTTTCTTACTTCGTTTCTCACCACAGGTTATTGAAGTGATAAGAGAATAATGGAAATTGAATAAAATTGATGCCAAATTTTTAAGGAATGTAGATTATTTAAATTGATCAGTTTTAGAATTTGAATAATGACTGTTTGGAGTCTTAAAATTAAAGTCTTGTTATCTTCCACCAGGCCTGGGTTTGAGAATGAATAATGTTGCAGAAATACCTACTTATTCTTAGCTCATTAATTTACCATTTGGGATCTGTAAGAGGCTTTCATCCAATCCCCTGCCCCCTGCAACAGCTGTTTGTATCCTGCCCTACGGCTCCTGGGTTAATAGTATTTCTGACACAGTGTGAGTTTTCAAGTTGGTATGTACAATTTCTGCCAGAGCCTTTGCTGCTGCCAAGTCTGAGGGTGGGAGGGTCCAGCTGATTTGTGGGGGAGGGTGCTTGTGACTGAGGGAACAAGGTGCTCTCTGGGTCTCTGATTTGCTGCAAGCTGAGTGTGAATGATGTCAGGCAGATCAGAGGACAGCTGATTCATTTAGGATCTGGAACTTTTCCCTCTCTTGTGCTCTTAGGTTTTGTGAAGGGATTCTGACTGCCATGCTGGTTACTTTTTGTTTGTTTTTTGAGAAAAATACCTTAATGTTACCTATGAGTTTTGGGAAGCTTTCTAAGTTTTCACTGGCTAAAATGCCCCTTATGTGAGAGAAGCGTCTGCTGTGTGAGAGGCAGATCTTACGTAGTCAGGAGAATGATGAAACGGAGGAGAGAGAGACTGGGAGCACCGTGCCTGCGGATTCAGTAAGGAGGTTGGGGTCTCTGACTTGAAACTGGCAGATGTCAGAAAAAGAAACTAATACCAAGTAACTCTTTCATTTGCTTGGATGAAGACTCTGCCTTGGAAATGCCTGTTAGGAAGAGGGCGGAGCTTTGTCAATTCAAGGTCAAAAGAGTGGTCCTTGGTGTTTTCAATTCAGATGTAATTTTAGTGGTTCCTAGGTGCTTGGGGAAGCTGGGTTAACCATGAACATAGTTTCCCCTTGCCTTGAAAGCAAGTTTTTAAAGTTATTGTCAAAGATGAAAATAAAAGCCTCAAGAATATGAGAAAAAAAGGAAAATAAAAAGCTCAGGACATGGAGGGATACATTTCGGCCCTTGGCCTGTCAGCTCCTAACTGCAGTCCTTCCTTGCAGATTCAAGGCCTTTCAGATTCAAAGTGGAATCCTTTGCCTTAAATTCTGTTTCTCCTTTGCCTAAGACAGAAACTATTAGGTGAAGATTTCAAAGCTGAGAAATGAGGAGGAGGGTTCTATTTTCGGGGTGGTTTCCCCAAGGTCTACTCAGGTTTATTTAGTAAAAAAGTGTTGAGAAATCAATGAGTAAATCATGGATGAGGATACTGTCCATGTGTCCTCAGTAAGTCGTGAGCCATGCCTTAAATTCCAGAGTAGAGGGAGCACACTTTCTGCATGGGTATTAGTGCTCATAGTGACTTTTTGTAGGTTGAGGCCCTTAGCATGCTTATTGATTGAATTACTAATTCTACTAGTCCCTAGAAAATAGCACTCATTTGAATTCCAGTTGGCATATTCATATACTTTAAAGAAAATAACAACAAAAAACAAAACTTGATTTACCAGACTGAGACTAGAGTAAAAAGATCACAAAAGGAAGCATAATCAATTGAAGCAATATTTAAAGTAAATATGACTCATTAGCTGAGTATGAATTTTTAAATGGAGTTTGTAAACTTTCAAAAATGTAAGTGGTCAACAATTATGATCTTTGAACATTAGTGCACTATATTGTGAGTATTGTATCTGTTCTAGAGATGAATGTGAAAAAATAGCCCTGATGGAGGAGCTAATAAGTAGTTTATTAATCCCTTTTCTTTTCCTTGTTTTTCCTTTTTCTTTTTTAAGACAGGAATTTTTTGTAGCCCTGGCTTTCCTGGAACTCACTCTGTAGACCAGGCTGGCCTCCAAATCACAGAGATCACCTGTCTCAGCTTCCCCTATGTTGGGATTAAAGGCGTGCGCAGCCACAGCCACAGCCACTGCCACTGCCACTGCCACTGCCACTGCCACTGCCACTGCCACTACTACTACTACTACCAGTTTCTTCTTTCTTTCTTCCTCCTCCTCTTCCCCCTCCTCCTTCTCTCCCTCCTCCTTCTCTTCCTCTTCTTCCTTCTTCTCCTCTTCTTCCTCCTCCTCCTCTTCCTCTTTTTTTTTCTCCAAACCTTTTTAGATTACAGCCTATTGTATAATTAATTTACAGAGTAGTAGTTAGGAGCAAAATGAAAATGACATTAGGTTTGTGCAGATTTTTATAATCCCAATAACATAGTGATTAAAATGACTAAACCTCACATTATGTGATAAGACTTAAGACTGCCAAGTATGGTGATGGGTGCTTATAATCCTAGCTCTGTGGGAGCCTGAAGTAACAACTATACAAGGTAGAGACCAGCTTGAGCAACTTAATGAGATGTCTCAAGAAGAAAGGTTTAAAAATTAAGCATTATTTTACAGGATAACTAACACAGAGAAGCTTATTGTAGGCTCTAATGAATCCTAACATATATATGCAAGGGAAAATATGTTGCACTTATGAAAAATTTAGGTATGCCTGCAATTTATTTTACTCTTTTTTGAGACAGGGCCTTGCTATGTAGTCCAGGCTGACTTTAAACTCAGGATTTTCCTGTATCGTCCTCCCAGGCACTGAGATTATAGACATAACTATTTGTCCTCTGTGGGTTAGGTTTTAGCCTGTGTACTGTCTGCCAACAGTAGTACTGGTGTAGAACATTTGAGAATAATTTTTGACCACTTACTTTTCTTAAGCCTCTTGCTTAAATTTAATTCACATTGAATATGCTTCTTTTCAATGGAGAAATTAACACTGACCTTTTTTTTTCCTACTGTGATACCTTGTCAGAATCTCCACTCTCTGCCGAGGAGCCGACATAACTCAGCACATGTTTTCGCCCTCCTCGGCTCCAGCCCTCTCCCTGGCTAAAGCCCCATTTAGTGCTGATTGTGTGCTGTCTACTTCTCCTCTTGTCTTTTTTCTGAACCCTCAAGCCCACAGCAGTCCCTGCAGTCCCTGTTCCAGCCGCACACTGCAGTGGAGGTAAGGAAGTCTGCAATGAATTGATATGGTTATTTGCAATGCTTCTGGTCTCATAAAGTCTGAACTTCCCTCCTTAGTAATGGGAAGGAGTTGGTAAAGACTGTAAAAGTGCTTCACAGATCTCTGCTATATTCATATTTTCTGAAGAAAGGGTAGTATATTGGTAATAAAATAGTTTTATGGGCATCCTAACCCTGTGACTGTGACTACTTCATAACACATCCATACTTTATGTAGCAGAAATATCTAAGTATAGGGCCTAGAGAGGTAGATCAGCAGTTAAGAGCACTTGTTCTTGTGAAGGACCCGGCTTTGATTCCCAGCATCCACATGGTAGCTCACAACTGTAACCCTAGTTCCAGGGGATCAAGCAGGCATGCAGGCAGAAGATTCGGATATATGAAGTACAGTAATTCAATCATTAAATACACACCTAAGTCTAAACACAGGCCAAATGATTTGTCCAATTGATGAAAATAGCTCTCCTGTTTCTACTTTTTCATATGTTCAGCACTGTTTGAATATATGCTGTTAGGCACTGCATTAGGTATAGGAGTACAAAGCAGTATTACATGCCAAGGTCTTGGTTTAGGACATTGGTTCTCAACCTTCCTAATGCTATGATCCTTTAATCCAGTTCCTCGGCTGGGCATAGTGGAGCACATCTTTAATCCCAGCATGGGGGAGGCAGAGGCAATTGGATCTCTGTGAGTTCAAGGCCAGCCTGGTCTACAAAGTGAGTTCTAGGACAGCCAGGGCTGTTAAACAGAGAACTTCTGTCTCAAAAATAAAATAAAATAAATTACAGTTTCTCATGTCATGGTGATCCCTAACACTATAAAATTGTATAGTTGCTACTTCATATCTATAATTTTACTACTGTTATAAATTGTAATGTAAATATCTGGCATGCGACCACTGTGAAAGGGTGGTTCGACCCCTAAAGGGGTTGTGACCTCCAGGTTGAGAACCTCTGGTCTAAGAGCCTCCTTCCTATGTGATTTGTACAGCAAAGCTCCGTGAAAAGCTTATGCCTTCCCAGGCATAAGCTAGGTGGAGAATACTGTGAAATGAGGTCCGAGGAGTAATATGGAGCTTTGAAGGCCATTGTATGTCTATTTGTTTTTATTCTGAGGGAGGTAAGTAGACATGAAGTGTTTAAAGCACAAGAATTTATGGATATAGAGAGTCCTTTGAGACAGGCATGATGGCACAGCTGAAATCTCAGTACTTGAGAATTGCAAACAAGGAAGGTCAGGAGTTCAAGGCCAACCTGGATACATAGTGAGTGTGTGCATACAGGCCACCCTAGGCTACATGAGACTTTGTCTCACAAGTAATTAAAAGAGCATTGGAGAAATGGCTCAGTGTGCAAAGGTACTTGCAGCTATCCCTGATGACCTGTGTTCAGCACCCAGAATTCACATGATGGAAGAAAAAAACTGAGTCCTGAAAGTAGTTCAGTGTAGTCCTTTGACCACCACAAGTGTGTAATAGCCAGGCCGTGGTGGCCCACACCTTTAATCCCAGCACTCGGGAGGCAGAGCCAGGCGGATCTCTGTGAGTTCAACGCCAGCCTGAGCTACAGAGTGAGTTCCAGGAAAGGCTCCAAAGCTGTACAGAGAAACCCTGTCTTTAAAAAAAAAAAAAAAGAAAAAAAGGAAAAAAAGTGTAAAATAAATATAATTAAAATTATCACTCTGGTATATAGTGCTAGTCGCATTATCTAGGTAAGGCACCCTTGTTCTTTGAACCTATGATGGTGCAGATAAAAAGTGATCATCTTGCCGGGCGGTGGTGGCGCACGCCTTTAATCCCAGCACTCGGGAGGCAGAGCCAAGCGGATCACTGTGAGTTCGAGGCCAGCCTGGGCTACCAAGTGAGTTCCAGGAAAGGCGCAAAGCTA